CACAATGGCGTCATGATGGCTGGAGTGCCACCTTCTGGACACACTGTTTATTTAAGTACTAGTGCTGCTGTGTTTTGTAATGTGGTCTGATAAATGCTCCCCATAGACCTGATAAAAATGTGATCATTTGGGCTATGAAAAACTATCTGTTGCCCCGCACAACTGATAAATATAAACTCTCTCTTAATGTAGAGGTCATTATCTACGGTTTTCGTGTACTGTGTTTGGATTTATTCAATGTTGACTGCTTCATCCTATTTTTAGTGTTGTGTTTTTTTTTATGTTATTACTTTTAATGGAGTCTATAAAATACATCTGACCTGACTTTAGCTTTTTTTGCCAAATGAATTGGTCTTGGACTTGTAACAATAACTTTTTGCAAAAATAAAATAAAATAAAATAAAATAATCCCCAAATTTGCCCTCCCAAAAAGTTTTAAAGGGATAGTTCATTCTAAAATTGAATTTGCTCTTGTCTGTACAATAGCAATAAACAGGCACTGGGGAAAAAAAGAAGAAATACTGAATAAATAAATTAATAATGACTTAAATTTTGGCCATTTCTCCACAACAAGCTATTTTATGGTTTCCAAGGACTTGGAATAAAGTGCACAAGTTTTATACATATTTTTGTCACCTTTGTGCTTTTTAGTCCTCATTCACTCTCATTATATTGAAAAGAGTGACCAAATTAATCTTTAAAAAAAAAAAAAAAATCCATAGGGGGAAAAAATCATAATGGTTCGGAATGGCAAAGGCTGAGTGAATAATAACATTTTTCTTTTTGGGTGAAGTATTTCTTTAAATCTCAAATACATTTTGGGCTTTTTTTGCATTATGATCTTTTTCCCCAAAAAAAGTTTTTGTTACAAGTCTCAACTCCAAAAGGAAAGGATATAATCTGAGGAAAATGGTAAATCCTCACCACTAAAATGTTAAAGAAGGATTAGATCACAGTCTAGTCCAAGGGCTTGAGAACATACACCCATTCACTTTTTTATAGCCTAGTCCACACACAGGCTCTTTAAAATCTTGTCTGCACTACAGACGCCAATCAGTAAACATACATCCAGCAAACCTTTAATGCCTGAGGAGTTTCCCCACTCACACAAGTTGTGCATCTTAAACATGTGCTTGTCCAGGGCAGTTTCTCAGCTCTTTATGGCCTTTTATCTACATGAAAGGCCCTGGACTGGGAGAGCCAACATTACGGCTCCATCAAAGTGAAAGCTACTGACAGCGCTGTCCTCCATAACGGCTCAGGCCATTAAAGGCCCTGTCACAGAGCCTTCCCAGAGAATCTGCATAATATAATGGGAGTGTGTTTGTGTTTCTGTATAATTGTAGGTTTCTTTGTCTCAATTAACTCTACAGGAAATTATTCTGCTATTCTGACACTAAGGTAAACAAGTACAAACCTAAATTCAATCATTAATGTGCATTAAAAGGAACTAAAATTTCCATATAAATTTAAACAAATTAAAAAACAGAAATTACAGAATTTAAACATCTAGAGTTTGTGTTGCAATATCTAACTTATCTGCGAGTAGAGCATTAGCCATAAGAACAAGCTTCTATAGGTACAGGAAATTAAAATGAGTACAAAATAAAAACTGACAATCCAAGACACGTTCAGCACATCTGTGAACCTACTGACCACAATAAAAGCCTTAGTGAGAACACAGTTCAGTCATTAAACCAAACTGAGCGCCTATTAAGTAGATGGTAATTAGAGGTTGTTTTCAGGTCGGTCATACCTCCTGACACCGGAGCATCCATGAACACTGCTCCCATCTTCTCAGCAGCAACGGCCATCTCTTTGGACACTGCAGGGTCGATGGTGCTGGAGTCAATCAGAAGGGTGCCTTTTTTTACCTTCCTTAAAGAAGAGTGCAAAATCAAACAGAACAATGTTAAATATCATCATAACAAGAAGCCCAGGAATATTCAAATGAGCCTAACCTGTTGCGAAATCCAAATTAGACATGTTACTATGGCCTATGTTAATCCGTGTATCATTCGATCATTCGTTTTTGAAATTGATAAAATGGGTTATTAATCCGTACAACTGCAGCAGCGGAGGACTATTATTCTGCTGCGTGATACTGCGGAAGAACTGATGATGGCACGGTTTGATCTTCGGCTGACCAATCAGCAGAAAGGGGCATTTAATTCCCGCCCACGTGTAGAAATCGAATATTCAAGCTGTTTATTCATTTTTCCACCCATGAACGAAAAACGTAAATTTAAGCTGAATTCTCGTTTTTTCGGAAAAAAAAAAAAAATGAAAAAGGAGCCATTTTCTCATTTTTCTACTTTCAATATTAAATCAAAAAACGAATGATCGAATGATACACGGATTTATGTTTTATACACATTTGCATGCTCATGCTTCTTTGATGTTTGTTAATGGTAACATGCCATGCAGGTAAACAATAAAACATTTAAAATTGCTGTATAATATACTGTATATTCAATAAACATTATGCAAAATTAGTTCATTTAATCTCATTTGGAAAAAATGATGAATGCACTATATACTACCATTCAAAAGTTTGGGGTCTGTAAATTTGCCTTCTACAGACCAGAATTTATTGGAATTAAGGAAGATTTAAAAGAACTACTAGATTAAGCCTAGACTTGTACTAATCATACAGTCAGTGGAAACTCCTTAATCTTGAACTATTCTTAATCATTATAAATAATACAGACGCATGCTGTGCAGATTTATATCCAATTTAGACTAATTTTGGTAATGTAGGACAACAGTTTCTCCAATATGTTAAAATTCAGTCAGTATCGAATTTAACACTGTTGAGAGTTTAATGTGAAAGGACTTACTTAAGTATGCCATTGGGTCCTGTGTAAACCTCAATGACGTTGGGGCTGGACGGTAGCATGGTGATGATGCGGTCAGCTTTATCAGCCACTTCAGCAGGGCAATCCAGGATCTGGGAGGACAAGCAAGGGTAATTATTTGCACAGCCTCATTCACAGAACTGTACAGTCTAGATGTAGGAAAGATGGTGATAGATTTTGTTTTAGCGCATTGTTTGAGAAACAGATACTTATACCTGTGCTCCTGAGTCCTGAAGCTCCTTGAAAGACTCTGGGAAGACATCAGTAGCAATGACAGGATACCCATGCTTCAGTAAGTTTCTAGCCATAGGTGTCCCCATGTTACCCAGTCCAATAAAACCCACTGGGGTCTTGGAAGCCATTGATCTACAGGATACTGAAAAACCACACACAGACAGAAATCATAAATTACAGTAAAATAAAATCCTCCCTATAGACACAGAAAGCTATGATAGTCAAAGAGTGCACTGAAACTGGCAACAGAAGATTTTTTTAGCCTATTATGTCTATAAAACAGAGACTTACTGGAGTAATTTTGTAAAAATCAATGTCAGTATAACATCGAATACATGGAATAACACATTGAGCACTATTGAGAAGTCTTTGCAAGATTTCTTAACCCTCAATATCAATTGCTTATAAAGACCTTCATATCCTTACAGATCCAGATGTTTAAAGAAAAACTCTAACTGAACTCTAAGAGAAAAACTGATATAGACAAAATAAACATTTAAAATTACTAAATGAGGTGACAAAAGCTGAACCTGGTGAGAAGGCTAGGACGTGTATTTAATTTGATAACACAGTTTATTTTATTATTTAGCTTATAGTTTGCAGCTGAAAACAATTTTTTTAACTGTAGTGTAACCTATGAGCTCCAAAACACCAGATGCATTGCACAACATTTCTGAACCTCAAAAAGTAAACAGTGACTTGCTTATTGTGCACAATGTTTGTTTATATGCTTTGACATATATGTCCAAGCATACTTCATACATATTCACATATTTTGCAGACTGACAAAACAAAACAGATGGAAAAAAAAAAAACATTTCCATACTGCTCTTTGCAATAACATTAGCGGCGCTTTAACCCCCTTGGTCTGTCAATGGATAATTAATGAGGAAACAACATACCCAAAGTGAGCTCCACATGTTTATTGCTTCTTTTATAAAAATTCCGATACCCTCTAAACAAAGCGGCCATGCTTATTCCTCTTGACCTCAGCTCCTGACAGCACCAGTCAGGAACTCAGGGGGCGGGTCCTATGATTGACAGCAACATTCCTCCAATCACTGATAAGGATTTGCGTACCAACCAATTAGATAGAGATCGTCATCGAGATATCATGCAGTTTCTCCCAGAGTTGCTGCTGTGATTTCTTTGAATAGAATTAAGATGATACTTCTTAAAAGATTAAGAATGGCTAGACGCTTTAGGCTTCTAAGTGAACTTATGACCATGCTGCCCAAATCAAAGAATGACAGTTTGTGCTAAAATCTCTTCGTTGTTGTTCTACATAATATTACACATACATGAATATTTTCAATAACAAACGCTGAAAAATAAATAAATAATAGAATATTTTTTTCTAGTATACACTGATCATTTCACAAATAGGACTATTCACCATTTCCTTTAAAAGGTAGCGTACTGCATAGAGTTTATAAACATCTTCATAGACATATTTGATATTCAGAGATATACTTAATATACTACATAACTAGATATACTTTTTATATACTTATACAATATAGTGTCTAGGACGTTTTAGCTATCTCTTAACATATTAAATGATCAAATGATTCCTAAAACTATAATATCTGCATACAATAACCATATTCGTTTAGCGTCTTAAGTAACGCTTGGCATTTTTCCATAATATCCACGTATGTTTTGCTGAAACGGACTGAGTCGGATTTAAATGATTCGTTTACGAATCGAACGGAATCAGTAAGTTGATGTTGAGTTGAGTTGAGTTGTTCTGTTTGAAAGAACCGATTCCCTGAAAAGAATCATATCTCCCATCTCTATTTTGTCGGGGTTATTCACTAACCAATGATAAAACACGGATCTCGGTGACAAAAGTAAATAAACCAATCACAGTGCGCCACCGACCGGAAGTAGGATGACGTTTCTAGATTCTCAAAACATGTTGACACCCGGTTCAGCTACATGACAGAGACAGTCTCCATCTGCGTTATCTAGCAATCTAAACAACAAGAGTTACAGATCTTCAAGTAAACATGGATTACAGGTATAACGGACTTATTGAGTGACGACTATAAGATATATAGTGATAATCTTGGAAATATATGTTGGAATTGCATGCGGTCCAATCTCGATGTATTTAGGGGTGGGATTGCAGTGGAATTAATAAAACTCATCAGCTCATCCTCTAAGGCCACCGCCAGTAATTTACGTCGTATAATAAATAACTTACATGTATAGAAAAATGCTACATCATCTAGTGTACTTGTAACTACCATTAAAATCCGCAGTGACTTGTTAGCGACATGATGCAAGTGAAATATATCTAGAAAGTGGCTTTCGGTTTAAGCAAACATGCTTTAGTATTATTAACAAGGAATGTTATGTTTTAAACCATCATATAATGAGTTCAGGGCGAATATGCTATTTGCTGTATTGAATCGAGCTGTCATTGACGGTAAAGGCCTGAACAGGGATGACAGCAGCACCAGCAGTGCCATGCATACAGGCCTACTCGGCATCGCCCCATCCGGCCTGGAATAGGGCAGGTCTTCTTCATGCAGCTGCACATGGGCATAAACCAAATGTATGTCAGCTCAAAAATATTTAAGCATCTAAATAACATTTTAATGCAGTAGAATGACCTATAGTTTATTGCAAATTCTGTGTTGCTTAAACACCCCGTCATGCAATTTTCAGTGTAAACTTTTTTTTTTTTTTTGCTGCATCACTTTCAAAGTAGCATCATTAAATAAATATAAAGAATATAAACTTTGCGGAATTTAAATGAATCAGGCTAGACTTACTTCTATTAATTATTACTTCAATAATAATTCCTGGGCCATATTGTAAAATTGACCTTTCATTCTGTAAAACCAATGTTTTCTGAATAGCTATGGTTGTGTTATGGCTCTCTGAGGTCTCTAAAAGTAAGATAAAAACATTTCAAATCACTATTTCAAGTCCTTTTATTTATTTGGTAAGCAGCTAGGTAATAATAAACTCATTCAGGGTGATACAAGTCCATGTTGGGGTTTATTTAGCAATATTTGACTCTCTGACTGAACAATATCCCTTGCCTGTATTATGAAAGAGAAACTGTGTCAGTTAAACCTTATTATTTCTTTGTAATTTTCATTCCGTCTTGTTTCAGGTAGACCAATCACAGGCTTTCCTTGAGCGCTTATGATGTTGTCAGCCTGTAATACGGGAGCATCTGCTGGTGGAGGAGGAAGTGTTGTCATGGAGACGTCTAACTTCGCCCATGTCATCTTCCAGAATGTTGGGAAAAGCTTCCTCCCGCAGGCAGCGCTTGAATGTCATTACACACTCACCCCCTTCATCACCCCACATCCCAAAGACTGGGTTGGCATCTTTAAGGTTGGTACACATTACATATTTCACTAACATCTGGTCAATATTTAGGTTTTCATACACAGAAATGCTTTTTGTAAGAAAATTCTATCCACCCGATTTAATCTCACTTTTTTTTTCTCTCGCTCTTCTTTCATCTCGAAATTTAATCTTGCACTTAATCAAGAGGAAATGAGCACACGGAAACTTTACATCTTGTTAAGATACAGTGACAGTTTATGACTGGTATAAAAGGCACTTCAAATCAACCAGATCTTTCCAGACAGCATTTAGAGTGGTGGGTTGCAGGGGGAAAATGTGGATTGGAAAAAAGATGGTTAATCCGCTCAATATCCCTGTTGTTTTGATGGTTAGTTTACGGGGGAATAGTGTTGCAGTGTGTGTGTGTGTGTGTGTGTGTGATTGATAGCATGGGCTGTTGTGCTGGATGCTGTGGGCGTTTCCCACAACAAATTAATCCTTCCTTATGCTTTTGCTGTAGTATTTTATCCTTTCATCCTTGTATCTGCAATAAGATTTAGTATAATAACAGATATTAGCTGCTATGTGTACTGCATAACTGGATAAGATTAGTCAGACTTATATGGTAGACCATTATGGTTGGATGTATTCTGACAATATCTATGGACTCGTATTTAAATTATTAATGAGGTAATGTGGGAATTATTCCTCAGGCATATACACACACTTAGTACACACACCTTAACCTGTGCTTTATATTACTTAGAGAACCACAGGCTCCCTCTGGTGGTTTAGAGAAAGTACTGCTCCTTCTAGAAAGCAGCGAGTTGCATAAGTTTAATTAACAATGTATGGGTTTTTTTGCAAAAAAAAACAAAAAATGTTCTGTGTGCAGAGGTTGTTGCTGTTTCTATTTTTACTCAGCTAAAATAGAATTACATTACATGCAAAACTTAATTAAAATTGTTATATTAAATGTTGTTAATTATATTTGAATAATTGCACTTTTATAATTTTTTTATTTTTACTTAAAATGCAAAATTTCTGTTTTAAATTATTAATTTAATATTTTAATTAAATGTTATTAATTATATATAAATAACTGTATTTTATCTTTTTATTTGTAAAATTCTAAAAAATAATCAGCTGCAGCTTTTTAATTTGTACTTGCAATGTCCCTTTTTATTTAATGTGCAAAATTTCAGTTTTAAATTAAATTGATATTTTCATATTAAATGACATTAATTATATGTAAATACTTGTACAGTATTTTATCTCTTTATATGTAAATTTTTACATATATTTAACTGTAACTTTTTTGTCTAAAAAAAAGAAAAAAAAGAAAACCTATATTTTAAATTTGCAGGGTGAACGAATATAGTACTCTTTATGAAGGAGTATGTTGAGGCACGTTGAAAATAGGCTACCTTTAAGCAATACAAAAAATGCTGTGTAATCATGCACACACACACACACACACACACACACACACACTCGGTGTACTCAAGTACTATATAATTAAGTTGTCGCGCACATGCCGAACATGTTCTTATGCACCTGATTTATAGTTACATCAGCCCTCTTATTATTTAATTTATCATTTATCGGTCATGTGTGTACAAGCATGGCTTGTTTGAAACACACTCGGATTCCTTCTCTCTTTTTCTTTCCTTTTGCTCTCCTCTTTACTTCTCTTCTCTGTAATTAATAGTTGATTTCTTCACAGATGACTGCGTTCCAGATGAAAGCAGAATACTTTCCGTAAAAAAAGAGATTACAGATGTGATATATTGTAATCAAAGTAAATGTCAGGTAGTGCTGTGAAAAATCACGATGACAAATCGCTGATAGTGTGTGTGTGTGTGTGTGTGTGTGTGTGTGTGTGTGTGTGTGTGTCTTGTTTGTAACTGTAAGAAGTTACCGTATGTGACATGTTTATGATGGTGGACTACATTCTTTTCTTCATTTCCATCATATTTCATTTAAAACGGCATAAAACCATGCAATCACTCATTTGCACACACACACAAATATGGGTGGTTATGGAGGTGAAAATTTTACACGTGCTTCAAAGGCAGAAATGATGAAATTCACATGCACACTCACACTTTTAAGAGTAACCACACAATTTTTAGCCGCCTTTGAAGCATGTGTAAAATTTTCACCTTTTTCGAGGTCCTTTTTTTCCATTACGCCTCCTTTTCCAACCCTACACACACACGCTGTGCCCCCTTTTCTGGCTAAGAAGTTCAGAAAGGAGGCTAAGTGTTTCCATCCCTCCTTGAGCTTATTGTGATATTTATAACCTGTGAAAATGATATGAGACAAAGTAATAAGACTTCCCACAGGTTTAATGTATTGTTAGTAAGTAATGTTTCTTCTTTCTCACTTTCTTTCCATCTGTTTTGACTGTGTGATCCTTAAACATTTTATGTAGTCTCTGTGTTTATATAGTTTTGCTTGTATCGTTTTGGTCAAAATGAACTAGTCTGTGTTTTATACATTTTACTTGTAACTGTTTTCAAAGGCCTTCATTGGTCTGGTCACAAAAGTTTTTGTTCTGACTCACTTCTGGTTTGCTGTTCTTATGTGTGTGTGTGTGTGTGTGTGTGTGTGTGTTAGGTGGGCTGGAGCAGTGCGAGAGACTACTACACGTTTCTCTGGTCTTCTATGCCTGAAAACTACACTGAGGGATCTACTGTTCACCGAACCATCATCTTTCAGGGTATACACACACACACACACACACACACACACACAAAGTCAACATGTATTGCCCTATGCAACCTATTTTACTTCTGTAATTTGATGTAGTGAAAAAGGAGAAAAGTGAAGGGTGGGACATTATTTTATTTTTCAGGAATTGATTGGATGGTTAAACTTGCTTTTATCCATCATAATTTAATTGGACTGTGAAATTGGGTTTTATTCATGTTATTATGTTAATTGTTTTTAGTTTTTTGCGCAGTAAGACCAAATAATTTTTTATTTAATGTCATCATGTTTTTTGTTTTATTTGATTGGATGATTAAAAATGGGTGTTTTTTTATTGTTATTTAAGTAAAAATTAAAGAGTCATTATTTTTGATTTCAGAACTTTTGAAAGTTTATGCAGACTGAATCTTTGATGTTTTGTTTTGTTTGTTTAATTTTGTAGGGCATTTTGTTTTTGCTTTACTTTGTTTGCAGATGACCTTTCTATTGTAAGTTATAGTATAAGACAATACATCTAAAATGTTGAAACCTGTAATCAAATACTCTACATGCTGTTTCCTAGGATATTATGTTCCCCGTAGTGATGGTGAGTTTTATCAGTTCTGCTATGTCACACACGCGGGTGAAATCAGAGGTGCGAGCACACCATTCCAATTCCGCCCGGCCACACCCACAGGGGAGGAGCTACTGACCGTGGAAGATGATGGGAACTCAGACATACTGGTTGTGACGACAAAGACTGGACTACTTGAGGTATGCAAATCACACAAACAAGAATACAAATCCCTGCTTTGTTCCAAAACCTAAGGCATCACAGGTGCACTCTTGATACAAAATGTAGACAACCTAA